TCCCTTCCCTTTCCACTGCTCTCACCATCCCTCCGCTACACCACCCTACAAGATCTCACCATCCCTCCACTCCCTTCCCTCACTGGCTCTCACCATCCCTACCTTCCTTTCCTCAACTGGCCTCTCACCATCCCTCATCTCTCCCTTTCCTCCACTGGCCTATCACCATCCCTCCTCTATCCTTTCCTCACACTTCCTTAAACATCCTCAGTCTCACCATCCCTCCACGGCCTCTCAACCATCCCTCCGCTATCCCTTTAATCCACTGCCTCTCAAACATCCTCCTCTCTCCCTTCCTCCACTGCATCTCACCATCCCTTCCTCTCTCCCTTTCCTCCAATGCACTACTCACATCCCTCCTCCTCGACCTTTCCTAACTGCCTATCAAATCCCTCCTCTCTACTTTCCTCCATGCTCTCACCATCACATCTCTCTCCCTTTCCTCCCACTGCTCTAACCATCCTCCTCTCTCACTTTCCTCCAATGCCTATCACCATCCATCCTCTCTCCCTTTCCTCCAATGAATCTCACCATCCCTCCACTCTCCCTTTCCTCCACTGCCTATCACATCCCACTATCTCACTTCCTCACTGCCTTCTCACCATGACTACACTCTCCCTTTCCTCCACTGCCTATCAAAATCCCTTCCTCTCTCCTTTCCTCCACTGCCCTCTCACATACCGCCTCTCTCCCAATTCCTACACGCCATCTCAAAATCCATCCACTTCCTTTCCTCCAATGCCTCTCAACATCCATCATTCTCTCCCTTTAATCCACTGCTCTCACATACCTACGATCTCCCTTTCCTCCACTGCCTCTCACATCCACTCCTCTCTCCCTTTTCATCCACGGCCTCTCACCATCCCCCTTCCTCTCCCTTTCATCAAATTGCATCTCACCATACAATCCTCTCTCCCTTCCTTCCACTGCCTCTCACCTCCTTCTCTCTCCCTTTCTCCACTGCCTATCACCATCCTACTATCTCCATTTCCGTCCACTGACATCTCACCTCCCCCGCTATCCTTTCCTACACTGCCCTCAAAATCCTCCATATCTCCCTTCCTCCACTGACTATAAACAGCCCTCCTCTCTCCCTTCCTTCGCCTCATCTCCCATCCCTCCTCTGCTAACTTTCTCCACGCTAGCACATCCCTCCTCGCTCCCGTTCTCCACTGCCTTCACCATCCTCACTCTTCTCCCTTTCCTTCCAATGCCTCTCACCATCCCTCCGCTCTCACATCCCTCACTGCCTTCACATCCCTCCTCTCGCCCTTACTCCACTGGCCTCTCACCACCCTCCTATATCCTTTCCGCCACGCTCTCAACAATCCATCCGCTCACCCATCATCACTGCTTCACCATCCCTCCTCTCCCCTTTCCTCCACTGCTCTCAACATCCCTCTCCTCCCTTCCTCCACTTGCCTCTCACCATCCATCCGCTCTCACCATCCCTCACTGCCGTATACCATCCACTCCACTCTCCCTTTCCTCCACTGCCTATACAACACTCCCTCCACTCTCCCTTCCTCACTGCCTCTAAACCATCCCTCCACTCTCCTTTTACATCCACTGGCCTCTCAACATCCTTTCCTCTCTCCCTTCCTCCAATGCCTCTCAAAAGCCCTCCTCTCTCCCTTTCCTCCATGCCTCCACCAATGCCGACATCATCCCTTAATCACACTGCCTCTCAACATCCCTCCTCTCTTCCCTTTCTCCACTGCCTCTCACCATCCATCCTCTCTCCCTTTCCTCCACTGCCTCTCACCAATCCCTCCTCTCTCCCTTTCCTCCACTTGCCTTCCACCATCCCTCCGCTCTCCCTTTCCTCCACTGCCTCTCACCATCCCTCCTCTCTCCCTTTCCTCCACTGACACCGACCAAAAAGGGACACCGTCCTCCAGATGATAGCGAAACTCAAGTAGCACCGCATTATTTCTGCATCATGTACAAATTCATGTTGTTACTCCTATGAACAGAGAAAGTGAAATATTCCTCTATATAAAAAAATTTAAAAAGACCCAAACCGCTAATAATAATGTAAGCCTATAGATACACTTTCATTCATTACTGCTGCAGTGCTTCTTGTAGCGCTGAGTGGAAATGGGAAGAACGTGCTTTTTATGGCTTCTAAAAAAAAATAAAAAAAAGTGTTGAATACAAAAGTGTTGACAGTGCTGAGTAAGAACCTCAGAATGAACAGACTCAAAAATAGCAGCTCTTTGCTGTATTCGTTGACAGTCTCTCTCTCTAGTCGTGGTTTTAAACATTTTGAAATCTCTCAGTATCAACTCTGCTGTAGCTTTCTTTTATGCTACGTTACCGCAGACACGGTAATCTGAGCCATCCGATTGGCCAGCGGTAGTCCTATAGTGCACTTGATTTGCTCTCTGGACCCGCCAGGAAAGCATAGTTTGTACCTTCAGACACATGAAATGGTAACAGCTGGCCTACCCGGCGCGCAGGGTAACTGAATCTGAACCTACCGCCAACAGCCCGAGACAAATACCAAAAAACAGGACCACAAGGCTCTCGTTTTTTTACAGAAATGTTTGGCGATCGACGAGGAATGCCTTGGAGGTCGACCACTGCTCTAGAAAGTTCAATCTCGTACTTCTCTCTGCGGGCGCGCAGCTTCGAGGGAACATTGCTGACTGATGTGGTAAACTCCTCAATGCCATTGGATGAATCCCCAAACGGATGTGGTAAACTCCTCAATGCCATTGGATGAATCCCCAAACGGATGTGGTAAACTCCTCAATGCCATTGGATGAATCCCCAAACGGATGTGGTAAACTCCTCAATGCCATTGGATGAATCCCGAAACATATTCCGGTCTGTGCTAGAGAAACAGTCCTGTAGCTTAGCATCTGTTTCATCAGACCACTACCGTACTGAGCACGTCACCGGTACTTCCAGTTTGAGTTTTTGCTTGTAGGCAGGAAATTGGGAAGATAGAGTTATGGTCAGATTTGCCAAAGGGATGGCGAGGGAGAGCCTTTTATGCGTTTCTGTGTTGAGTAAAGTTGATCAAGAGTTGTGTCTCCTCAAGCTGCACAGGTGACACGCTGGCAAAATGATTTAAAACAGTTTTATTTCATTCTTCTGTTTTGGGAGGTGTGGAGAGAGATTATAGATGTGGACAGGGAATAACAGGCTCTGCCTGCGTCCCAAATGGAGCCCTGCTCCTATTTTAGTGCACTACTTTTATCCAGATCCCTATGATGCACTAGGGAACATGGTGCCCTTTGGGCCTCAGACGGAATCGGCTGCTGCTCCTGGGGAAGGCGAGGTGAACCCTGTACCCTATTTAGTGCACTACTTGTCATTTGGGACGCGGACTAAAACTCAGTACCCTACTATAAAAACACAACCTGTCCTGTATATCAGCTTCAAACAGAGTTAGCTATGTCCCCTCTGCAGTAGGCTATGGGCCTACTGTTTAAAACCCATCTCAAAGCAGAGGCCTTTTCAGCAGGGACCCCCTTTTTTTGGCCCAGAATTTCTGCCGAACCAACCCCAATTCTAATGACACAACTTTAAAATTGGTCAATTTTGATTTTTACATCAACAAATACCAAAATATCAATTCATTAGATTTTATTCTCTTATCAAAATGAAGGGGGGGGAAAAAATCCAATAAATACATTTTCTCAAAAACACTTGTATATTGTCCAATACAATATGTAATCTTAATTTTCAGTTTCCTCCCAAATTTTTTACAAATATAACAATAATGTAAATATTAATTTGCCGACCCCACTGCAATTCCCCTGAATTGAATATTTCTGCCATGGGGGGGGGGGGGGGGGGGGGGGGTTGGTTGACCCAGGCAAGATCTCAATTGCATACTCCTCGCATCCTCTCCTCTTCTCAAAATCCATTGGAGGAAAAAGTCAGAGGGGAGGGACCTCTGACTTTCTCATCCAATGGGTTTTGAGAAGTAGATTAGGAGAGAGGATGTGAGGAGTATGCAATTGAGATATTCCCCCATAGAGATCTTGAGTTTCCTCTGGCCAGGATGATAGCAAGGACTCCCACAACAAGGGATGCAAACGGTTTTTTTCTAGATGGGATACAGTTTGTCAGAATTGAATAGAATATACTTTTCGTAGCAGGTTAGAAAAGTATACGCAGCAGGAGAATTAACATATTAGGTTAGGAGAATTAGGTTAAGGTAAGGAAAAGCATTAGGCTTAGCTAAAATGCACCAACAACAAAAAAAAAATTGACATAAGATGTTTCCCCATCTATCAATGACCGGGGCCAACGGGCAACCTTCTTCCCTCCCTGAGTCTCAGCTGTCCTGTCATCGCCATGATGTCACTAAGGTTTAAAGGGCTGTGTTCTTTAGTCATGCAGGACTTCTGCTGTTTTTCTACTATTTGTATGATAATAGCGTGCCTAATCAGCCAGAGATGGTCAGTTATGGTTTTGTGATTAGATTTATTAAACTTACACAGTAGTTTGTAGCAAGAGTTGGCACTTCAGTCTAAATGTTGTTAGTAACACTATTTATGGTCTTAACGTCTGAGGAAGCCTGTGGGTGTAGGCTACGCCATTGCTTTGAAGACTGAGTAAACAAAGGTTTGAGCATCACAGAGATTAAAACATTCGCACCTCCAGCTATACTAAGAAATAGGAGGAAAATATTTTAAAAACACACCGTATGTCCAGTAACTGTGGGATTGGTTGATCAGGCAAACATCACTATGCCCTTGCTTTAATTCACTAGAAATGTAAACCTGGGCAAGGAGGACGCAAAACCCACAGAAGCTATTTATGACAGAATGTTTGGTAATAATGGTATTATATTTTCCCTATGCAGTAATTGTACAATATTTAGTTGACACCATTATCAAAATGCATCTCCATTGCAACAGACAGGCTGAATTAAATAATTTAGCTGCACTGTCTGTGCACAATATCTAGTGACTACACCCAAATGCATAGGCTACATTTGTGCACTTACCTACTCAGTAAGTCGAAATAGTGTTGCTTATTCAAACCTGCATTCTCAGGTTGCCGTCTGCCGTCTACAAACATGTAAGATAGATATTTGACGGATTTGCTGTACCTTGCAACAAATTCTCCCTAAAATGCCAACACATCACTTCCTCAATTATCATTTCCTGGTATTCCACGTCACTCCTACTGATAGACAATCTAACCCTCTAATCAGAGACGAGTATTTGCGGAATTGACCAATAGTTGAGTGGAAGGCGGGGCTCACAGACAAACATTCGACATGCGCTTCCACTCATCACACGTTTGTCTGGGAATGGCTAGGTAAGAAGCTATGGACTCAGAAATAGCGGCACACTTTTTAGGCTACCTTCAGTCCATGTTTCTGTATAAATGTATTGATATGAGCCTCTTCTCTTTCTCCACACTTACCAAATCGGTCTCTTCTGCTGCTGCAGGCAGGCGGGCGACCTAGCATCAGTCTTCTGACCAACCAACAATCCCTTTTTGTAGTGGTCTTGAAGGAAGACACCGATTTAAAGGAGAAAGTACTGTATCTACGGTTTATTTCTGTGATTCTGTGCAACACGCAGATAACAGACACTGAGCTTGACACTGCTTGGAACTTATTTAAGTTTATATTTGTGTCCCAAATGGCACCCTATTCAATATAATCCAATATGGGCCCCTGGTCAAAAGTAGCGCACTATATAGGGAATAGGGTGCCATTTGGGACACATTTTCAAACGATTTCCTGCTCTCCCATGGGCGGCCCATAATGCATGCTGCACAGCGGTAACTAATAGATCTCCTTAGAATGCTTTACTTAGTATGGTGCCTCACATCAATATACTTTCACATCGCTTCAGATGGGAGTACTGTAGGTTACTTGTACCAAGCGACATTTGTCGATGCTGCAAGGCCAATTTGTTATTGTCCTGTATATGAAAGAAGGTCTGGAGGCCAGAGAAAAAAAAATATTGTCTGTAATTTTAAGTTAAAAGGGTTTTGCGAGTGATGTGTTTGTGACATCCAAATTACATAAAAGTACCCGCTATTAAATGGTGGCCTATGCTGTATATTTGTACACTGAGTCTACAGAACATTAGGAACACGAGCTCTTTCCATGACACCCTTATTGATGTCACTTGTTAAATCCACTTCAATCAGTCTAGATGACGGGGAGGAGACAATTGAGACATGGATTGTGTGTGTGTGCCATTCAGAGGGTGAATGGGCAAGACAAAAGATTTAAGTGCCTTTTGAACGGGGTATGGTAGTAGGTGCCAGGTGCACCGGTTTGTGTCAAGGACTGCAACGCTGCTGGGTTTTTCACTCTCAACAGTTTCCTGTGTGTATAATAATAAATAATAATAATAATTTTGGAATGGTCCACCACACAAAGGACATCCAGCCAACTTGACACAACTGTGGGAAGCATTGGAGTCAACATGGGCCAGCATCCCTGTGGAACTCTTTCGACACCTTCTAGAGTCCATGTCCCTGTGGACTGCTTTCGACACCTTGTAGAGTCCATGCCCAGACGAATTGAGGCTGTTCTGAGGGAAAAAGGGGGTGCAACTCAATATTAGGAAGGTGTAGCTAATGTTTTGTAACATTAAGGACACACTCTTTCTTCTCTGCCCTTAATTGCGTCAGTAAGCAGTCTGCATCTTGAGGAGAATGCTCCAGGGAATTGGGGTCTAATGACACCGTCGTCTCAGACAAGACGCAGCGATGAATACGTGGCAACATCATCCAGGGCAATTTGAGCAGCCATCATGTAGAACTGATTAATTCTGCGACCGAGAGTGTCAGAGGGTCTTTAGTAGACAGACAATATCTCTCCTTCTTTCTGAGTATTACATTATAAGGTCTATAGGACTTGATAAAAACAGTATTAGATTATAATAGGCCTTGATAAAAAACAGTATTAGTAGTATTACAAATCAAATTGTGTTTGTCACATGTTTCATAACCAACAGGTGTAGACTAACAGTGAAATGTTTACTGAAGGGCCGTTCCCAACAATACAGAGAGAAAGAAAATAGAGAAATAATAGAACATTAAAACACGTAATAATAACATGAATAATAAATACACAATGAGTAACGATAACTTGGCTATATACAAGGGGTACCAGGACCGAGTCGATGTGCAGGGGTACGAGGTAATTGAGGTATACAAACTACATGACCAAAAGTATGTGGACACCTGCTCATCGAACATCTCAATCAAAGGGGGGCAGACACTCTTCTCCAGAGAGACTTACCTTAGTGAGTCATTTAGCAGACTAAGGTACGTCTCTCTGGATAAGAGCGTCTGCTAAATGACTCACTACTGTAAGTCTCTCTGGATAAGAGCGTCTGCTAAATGACTCACTACTGTAAGTCTCTCTGGATAAGAGCGTCTGCTAAATGACTCACTACTGTAAGTTTCTCTGGATAAGAGCGTCTGATAAATGACTCACTACTGTAAGTCTCTCTGGATAAGAGCGTCTGATAAATGACTCACTACTGTAAGTCTCTCTGGATAAGAGCGTCTGATAAATGACTCACTAACTGTAAGTCTCTCTGGATAAGAGTGTCTGATAAATGACTCACTACTGTAAGTCTCTCTGGATAAGAGCGTATGATAAATGACTCACTAACTGTAAGTCTCTCTGGATAAGAGCGTCTGATAAATGACTCACTAACTGTAAGTCTCTCTGGATAAGAGCGTCTGATAAATGACTCACTACTGTAAGTCTCTCTGGATAAGAGCATCTGATAAATGACTCTCTACTGTAACAATCTCTGGATAAGAGCGTCTGCATAAATGACTCACTACTGTAAGTCTCTCTGGATAAGAGCGTCTGATAAATGACTCACTACTGTAAAGTCCTCCTCTTGGGATAAGATCGTCTGATAAATGACCTCAACTACTGTAGGTCTCTCCTGGATAAGAGTGTCCTGAATAAATGACTCACTACTGTAAGTCCTCCTCTGGATAGAAGCGTCTGCTAAATGACTCCACTACTGTAAAGTCCCTCGTCTGGATAAGAGCGTCCGATAAATGACTCACTACTGTAAAGTCCTCTCTGGAATAAGAGCGGCTGATAAATGGACCTCACTACTGTAAGTCTCTCTCTGGATAAGAGTGTCTGATAAATGACTCACTACTGTAAGTCCTCCTCTGGATAAGAGCGTCGCTAAAATGACCCACTACTTGTAAGTCTCTCTGATAATAAGAAGTGGTCTGATAAATGACTCACTACTGTAAGTCCTCTGGATAAGAGCGCTGCTAAATGACTCACTACGTGTAAGTCTCTCTGGATTAAGAGGCGTCTGATAAATTACTTCACTAAACTGGTAAGTCTCTCTGGATAAGAGTGTCTGATAATGACTCACTACTTAAGTCCTCTGTGATAAGCTTGATAATGACTCACTACTGTAGTCTCTCTGATAAGCGTCTGATAATACTCACAAACTGAAAGTCTCTCTGGAAAAGAGCTCTAAATGACTCACACTGTAAGTCCTCTGAAAAGAGCGCTGAAAAATGACTCACTACTTAAGTCTCCTGGATAGAGCGCTGATAAATGACTCATACTGTAATTCTCTCGATACAGGTCTGATAAATGACTTCTACTGTAGCCCTCTCTGGTAAGAGTGTCTGAAAAATATCACTACTGTAATCCTCGGAAAAGATGTCTTCCTAATTATCTCACTACTGAAGTCTTTGATAAGACCCGTCTACAAGACCAACATAAGGCTCCTCCACAAGGCCCTGTAGTGTAGCCAGTTACATACTGTAGGCCCTATAGGGGTAGCCATTTACTACTGTAGGCCCTATAGTGTAGCCAGTTACATACTGTAGGCCCTATAGTGAAAGCCAGTTACATACTGTAGGCCCTATAGTCTAGCCAGTTACATACTGTAGGCCCTATAGTGTAGCCAGTTACATACTGTAGGCCCTGTAGTGTAGCCAGTTACATACTGTAGGCCCTATAGTGTAGCCAGTTACATACTGTAGGCCCTATAGTGTAGCCAGTTACATACTGTAGGCCCTATAGTGTAGCCAGTTACATACTGTAGGCCCTATAGTCTAGTGTAGCCAGTTACATACTGTAGGCCCTATAGTGTAGCCAGTTACATACTGTAGGCCCTATAGTGTAGCCAGTTACATACTGTAGGCCCTATAGTGTAGTGTAGCCAGTTACATACTGTAGGCCCTATAGTGGTAGCCAGTTACATACTGTAGGCCCTATAGTCTAGTGTAGCCAGTTACATACTGTAGGCCCTATAGTGTAGCCAGTTACATACTGTAGGCCCTATAGTGTAGCCAGTTACATACTGTAGGCCCTATAGTGTAGCCAGTTACATACTGTAGGCCCTATAGTGTAGCCAGTTACATATTGTAGGCCCTTTTAGTGTAGCCAGTACATACTGTAGGCCCTATAGTGTACCAGTTACATACTGTAGGCCCTATAGTGTAGCCAGTTACATACTGAGGCCCTATAGTTAGTGTAGCCATTACATACTGTAGGCCCTATGGGTGCCGTTACTACTGTAGCCCTATAGTGTAGCCAGTTACATACTGTAGCCCTATAGTTAGCCAGTTACATACGGTAGGCCCTATAGTGTAGCCATTTACATACTGTAGGCCCTATAGTGTAGTGTAGCCAGTTACATACTGTAGGCCCTATAGTCTAGTGTAGCCAGTTACATACTGTAGGCCCTATAGTGTAGCCAGTTACATACTGTAGGCCCTATAGTGTAGCCAGTCACATACTGTAGGCCCTATAGTGTAGCCTTTTTTACATACTGTGGCCCTATAGTCTTGTAGCCAGTTACATACTGTAGGCCCTATAGGGGTAGCCAGTTACATACTGTAGGCCCTATAGTGTAGCCAGTTACATACTGTGGCCCTATAGTGTAGCCGTTACTACTGTAGGCCTTTTGTACCAGTTACATACTGTAGGCCCTATAGTGTAGTGTGCCAGTTACTACTGTAGCCCTATAGTGTAGCCATTTACATCTGAGGCCCTATAGTGTACCTTACATACTGTAGGCCCTATGTGTAGCCATTTACTACTGTGGCCTATAGGTAGCCAGTTACTATTGTACCCCTATAGTGTCCCAGTTACATACTGTAGGCCCTATAGTGTAGCCAGTTACATACTGTAGGCCCTATAGTGTAGCCAGTTACATACTGTAGGCCCTATAGTGTAGCCAGTTACATACTGTAGGCCCCTAAGTCTAGTGTAGCATTTTACATACTGTAGCCCTATAGGGTAGCCATTACATACTGTAGCCCTATAGTGTACCCAGTCACATACTGTGGGCCCTATAGTGTAGCCAGTTAACATACTGTAGCCCTATAGTCTAGTGTGCCAGTTACATACGGTAGGCCCTATATTTAGCCATTACATACTGTAGGCCCTATGTGTAGCCAGTTCACATACTGTGGGCCCTATATGTAGCCAGTTACATACTGTGGGCCCTATAGGGGTAGCCATTACATACTGTAGGCCCTATGTGTACCAGTCACATACTGTGGGCCCCTATAGTGTAGCCAGTTACATACTGTAGGCCCTATAGTGTAGCCAGTTACATACTGTGGCCCTATAGTTAGTGTAGCCAGTTACAACTGTAGACCCTATAGTCTAGTTAGCCAGTTACAACTGTAGACCCTATAGTCTAGTGTAGCCATTTACATACTGTGGGCCCCTATAGTGTAGCCATTTTACAACTGTAGGCCCTTAGGGTAGCCAGTTACATACTGTGGGGCCCTATAGTGTAGTGTAGCCAGTTACATATGTAGGCCCTATAGTGTGCCAGTACATACTGTAGGCCCTATGTGTAGCCAGTTACATACGGGTAGGCCCAAAGTGTAGCCATTTACATACTGTAGGCCCTATAGTGGCCATTACATACTGTGGGCCCTAAGTGTACCTTACATACTGTAGGCCCTATAGTGTGTGTAGCCAGTTACATACTGTGGGGCCCTATAGTGTACCAGTTCCCATCTGTAGGCCCTATAGGTAGCCAGTTACATACTGTAGGCCCTATAGTGTAGCCAGTTACATACTGTAGGCCCTATAGTGTAGTGTAGCCAGTTACATACTGTAGGCCCTATAGTGTAGCCAGTTACATACTGTAGGCCCTATAGTGTAGCCAGTTACATACTGTAGGCCCTATAGTGTAGCCAGTTACATACTGTAGGCCCTATAGTGTAGTGTAGCCAGTTACATACTGTAGGCCCTATAGTCTAGTGTAGCCAGTTACATACTGTAGCCCTATAGTGTAGCCAGTTACATACTGTAGGCCCTATAGTGTAGCCAGTTACATACTGTAGGCCCAAATAGTGTAGGTACCAGTTACATACGTAGGCCCTATTATGTAGCCATTACATCGGGTAGGCCCTATAGTGTAGCCAGTCACATACTGTAGGCCCTATAGTGTAGCCAGTTACATACTGTAGGCCCTATAGTGTAGCCAGTTACATACTGTAGGCCCTATAGTGTAGTGTAGCCAGTTACATACTGTAGGCCCTATAGTGTAGCCAGTTACATACTGTAGGCCCTAGTCTAGTGTAGCCAGTTACATACTGTAGACCCTATAGTGTAGCCAGTTACATACTGTAGGCCCTATAGTGTAGCCAGTCACATACTGTAGGCCCTATAGTGTAGCCAGTTACATACTGTAGGCCCTATAGTCTAGTGTAGCCAGTTACATACTGTAGGCCCTATAGTGTAGCCAGTTACATACTGTAGGCCCTATAGTGTAGCCAGTTACATACTGTGGGCCCTATGTGTAGCCTTTACATATGTGGGCCCTGAGTGTACCATTACACTGTAGGCCCTATAGTCTAGTGTAGCCAGTTACATACTGTAGGCCCTATAGTGTAGCCAGTTACATACTGTAGGCCCTATAGTGTAGCCAGTCACATACTGTAGGCCCTAAAATTTTAAAGCCAGTTACATACTTAGGCCCAAAGGGTTAGCCAGTTACAACTTAGGCCTATTTTACCAACATACTGTAGCCGTATGACCAGTTACATACTGTAGGCCCTAAGTCAGGGGTAGCCGTTTACTACTGTAGGCCCTATAGTGTAGCCAGTTACATACTGTAGGCCCTATAGTGTAGCCAGTTACATACTGTAGGCCCTATAGTGTAGCCAGTTACATACTGTAGGCCCTATAGTCTAGTGTAGCCAGTTACATACTGTAGGCCCTATAGTGTAGCCAGTTACATACTGTAGGCCCTATAGTCTAGTGTAGCCAGTTCATACTGTGGGCCCCTATAGTGTAGCCATTACATACTGTAGGCCCTATAGTGTACCCCAGTCACATACGGTAGGCCCTAGGTGCCAGTTACATATGTGGCCTATGTCTAGTTAGCCAGTTACATACTGTAGGCCCTATAGTGTAGCCAGTTACATACTGTAGGCCCTATATGTAGCCATTTCACATACTGTAGGCCCTATATGTACCCCAGTTACATACTGTAGGCCCTATAGTGTAGCCAGTTACATACTGTAGGCCCTTAGGGGTAGCCAGTCCATACTGTAGGCCCTATAGTAGCCAGTACATAGGTAGGCCCTATAGTGTACCCAAGTTCTACTGTAGGCCTATAGTTATGTAGCCAGTTACATACTGTAGACCCTTAGTCAGTGAAAGCCAGTTACATACTGTAGACCCTATAGTCTAGTGTAGCCAGTTACATACTGTAGGCCCTATAGTGTAGCCAGTTACATACTGTAGGCCCTATAGTGTAGCCAGTTACATACTGTAGGCCCTATAGTGTAGTGGCCAGTTTACATACTGTAGGCCCTATAGTGTAGCCATTACATACTGTAGGCCCTATAGTGAAAGCCAGTTCCCATACTGTAGGCCTATAGTGTAGCCAGTTACATACTGTAGGCCCTATGTGTAGCCAGTTACATACTGTGGCCCTATAGTGTAGCCAGTTACATCCCTGTAGGCCCTATAGTGTAGTGTAGCCAGTTACATACTGTAGGCCCTATAGTGTAGCCAGTTACATACTGTAGGCCCTATAGTGTAGCCATTACATACTGTAGGCCCTATAGTGTAGCCAGTTACATACTGTAGGCCCTATAGTTGTAGCCAGTTACATAACTGTAGGCCCTATAGTGTAGCCAGTTACATACTGTAGGCCCTATAGTGTAGCCAGTTACATACTGTAGGCCCTATAGTGTAGCCAGTTACATACTGTAGGCCCTATAGTGTAGCCAGTTACATACTGTAGGCCCTATAGTGTAGTGTAGCCAGTTACATACTGTAGGCCCTATAGTGTAGCCAGTTACATACTGTAGGCCCTATAGTGTAGCCAGTTACATACTGTAGGCCCTATAGTGTAGTGTAGCCAGTTACATACTGTAGGCCCTATAGTGTAGTGTAGCCAGTTACATACTGTAGGCCCTATAGTGTAGCCAGTTACATACTGTAGGCCCTATAGTGTAGCCAGTTACATACTGTAGGCCTATATGTAGCAGCCACCATACTGTAGGCCCTATAGGGGTACCCCGTTACATACTGTTAGGCCCTATAGTGTAGCCAGTTTAAAATACTGTAGGCCCATATCTAGTGTAGCCAGTTACATACTGTAGGCCCTATAGTGTAGCCAGTTACATACTGTAGGCCCTATAGTGTAGCCAGTCACATACTGTATGCCCTATAGTGTAGCCAGCCACATACTGTAGGCCCTATAGTGTAGCCAGTTACATACTGTAGACCCTATAGTGTAGTGTAGCCAGTTACATACTGTAGGCCCTATAGTTAGTGTCCAGTTACATACTGTAGCCCATAGTGTAGCCAGTTACATACGTAGGCCCAAAGTGTAGCCCTTTTACATACTGTAGGCCCTATAGTGTAGTGTAGCCATTTAAATACTGTAGGCCCTATAGTGTAGCCAGTTACATACTGTAGGCCCTATAGTGTAGCCAGTTACATACTGTAGGCCCTATAGTGTAGCCAGTTACATACTGTAGGCCCTATAGTGTAGCGAGTTACATACTGTAGGCCCTATAGTGTGCCAGTTACATACGTAGGCCCCTTTAAGTGTAGCCGTTACATACTGTAGGCCTATAGTGTAGCCAGTTACATACTGTAGGCCCTATAGCCCTAGTGTAGCCAGTTACAATACTGTAGGCCCTATAGTGTAGCCAGTTACATACTGTAGGCCCTATAGTGTAGCCAGAGACATACTGTAGGCCCTATAGTGTAGCCAGTTACATACTGTAGGCCCTCTAGTGTACCCAAAGTCACATACTGTAGGCCCTATAGTTTAGCCAGTTACATACCTTTTAGCCCTATGTGTAGCCATCCATAGTAGGCATATGTTACCCAGTTACATACTGTAGGCCCTATAGTGTAGCCAGTCACATACTGTGGGCCCTATATGTAGCCAGTTACATACTGTAGGCCCTATAGTGTAGCCATTAATAATGTAGCCCATATTACCATTACATATGTAGGCCCATATTTAGGTACAGTTACATACTGTAGGCCCTATAGTGGTAGCCAGTTACATACTGTGGGCCCCTATATGTAGCATTTACATACTGTAGGCCCTATAGTGGGGCCAGTTACATACTGTAGGCCTATAGTGTAGCCAGTTACATACTGTAGGCCTATAGTGTAGTTAGCCATTACATACTGTAGGCCCTAGTGTAGTGTAGCCAGTTACATACTGTAGGCCCTATAGTAAGTGCCATTTAAACATACTGTAGGCCCTATAGTGTACCATTTTACATCTGTAGGCCCTATAGTGTAGCCAGTTAAAATACTGAAAGGGCCCTATAGTGTAGCCAGTTACATACGGTGGGCCCCTTAGTCTAGTGTAGCCATTACATACTGAGGCCCTAAGTGTAGCCAGTTACATACTGCGGCCCTATAGTGAACCCCAGTTAACTACTGTAGGCCCTAGTGTAGTGTAGCCTTTTACATACTGTAGGCCCTATAGTGTAGCCATTACATACTGTAGGCCCTATAGTGTAGCCAGTTACATACTGTAGGCCCTAGTGTAGCCAGGGGAAACATACTGTGGGCCCTATAGTGTAGCCAGTTAATACTTAGGCCCTAAAAGTGTAGCCAGTCACATACTGTGGCCCTATAGTGTAGCCAGTTACACTGTGGGCCCTATAGTGTAGCCAGTACATACTGTAGGCCCTATGTGTAGCCATTTACATACTGTGGGCCCCTATAGTGTAGCCAGTTACATACTGTAGGCCCTATAGTGTAGCCAGTTAACATACTGTAGGCCCTATAGTCTAGTGTAGCCAGTTACATACTGTAGGCCCTATAGTGTAGCCAGTTACATACTGTAGGCCCTATAGTGTAGCCAGACATACTGTAGGCCCTATAGGTAGCCAGTTACTACTGTAGGCCCTATAGTGTAGCCAGTAAACATACTTGAAAGGCCTATAGTGTAGCCAGTTACATACTGTGGGCCCCTATAGTGAAAGCCAGTCACATACTGTAGGCCCTATAGTGTAGCCATTCATGTGGGCCTATAGTGTAGGCCAGTTACTATGTAGGCCATAGTGTAGCCAGTTACATCTGTGGGCCTATAGTGTAGCCAGTTACATACGTAGGCCCTATAGTGTAGCCAGTTACATCTGTAGGCCCTATAGTGTAGCCAGTTACATACGTAGGCCCTATAGTGTTTTTAGCCAGTTACATACTGTAGGCCCTATGGGTGTATGTAGCCATTTACATACTGTAGGCCCTATAGTGTAGCCAGTTACATACTGTAGGCCCTATAGTGTAAGCCATTTAAATTACTGTAGGCCCTATAGTGTAGCCAGTTACATACTGTAGGCCCTATAGTGTAGTGTAGCCAGTTACATACTGTAGGCCCTATAGTGTAGCCAGTTACATACTGTAGGCCCTATAGTGTAGCCAGTTACATACTGTAGGCCCTATAGTGTAGCCAGTTACATACTGTAGGCCCTATAGTGAGCCAGTTACATACTGTGGGCCCTATATGGTAAGCCAGTACATACTGTAGGCCCTATAGTGTAGCCTACATACTGTAGGCCCTATAGTGTACCATTCATAATGTGGCCCTATAGTGTAGCCAGTACATACTGTGGGCCCTATAGTGTATGTCCAGTTACATACGTATCCCTATATGTAGCCAGTTACATACTGTAGGCCCTATAGTGTAGCCTTTTACATACTGTAGGCCCTATAGGGGGTAGCCAGTTACATACTGTGGGCCCCTATAGTGTAGCCAGTTACATACGTAGGCCCTATAGTGTAGACCAGTTACATACTGTAGCCCTATATGTATGTAGCCAGTTACATACTGTAGGCCCTAAAAGTGTAGCCAGTTACTACTGTAGTCCTATGTGTACCCAGTTACATACTGAAAGGCCCTATATGTAGCCAGTTACATACGTAGGCCCTATAGTGTGCCAGTTACATACTGTAGGCCCTATAGTCTAGTGTAGCCATTTACATACTGTAGGCCCTATAGTGGTAGTGTAGCCAGTTACATACTGTAGGCCCTATGTGTAGCCAGTTACCATACTGTAGGCCCTATAGTGTAGCCAGTTACATACTGTAGGCCCATAGTGTAGTGTAGCCGTTACATACTGTAGCCCTATATGTAGCCAGTTACATACTGTAGGCCCTATATGTAGCCAGTTACTCTGTAGGCCCTATATTTGGTTAGCCAGTTACATACTGTAGGCCCTATGTGTAGTGGCCAGTTACTACTGTAGGCCCTATATTATGTAGCCAGTTACATACTGTAGGCCCTATGTGTAGCCAGTTACTACTGTGGGCCCTATAGTGTACCATTTTACTACTGTAGGCCCTATAGTGTAGCCAGTTACATACTGTGGCCCTATAGTGTAGGTAGCCAGTTACATACTGTAGGCCCTATAGTGTAGCCATTCATACTGTAGGGCCCTATAGTGTAGCCATTTACATCTGTAGGCCCTATAGGGGTAGCCAGTTACTACTGTAGGCCCTATAATGTAGCCATTACATACTGTAGGCCCTATATGTAGCCAGTTACCTACTGTAGGCCCTATAGTGTACCCATTTTTACATACTGTAGGCCCTATGTGTGCCAGTTACATACTGTAGGCCCTATGTTAGTGTAGCCATTACATACTGTGGGCCCTATAGTGTAGCCAGTTACATACTGTAGGCCCTATGTGTAGCCAGTTACATACTGTAGGCCCTATATGTACCCAGTTTACTTGGCCCTATAGTGGCCATTTTACATGTAGGCCCTATAGTGTACCCCAGTTACATACGTAGGCCCTATAGTGGTAGCCAGTTACATACTGTAGGCCCTATATGAAAGCCATTTTACATACTGTAGGCCCTATAGTGTCCCCAAATTACATACTGTAGGCCCTATAGTTAGCCATTACTACTGTAGGCCCTATAGTGTAGCCAGTTACATACTGTAGGCCCTATAGTCTATGTAGCCAGTTACATACTGTAGGCCCTATAGTGTAGCCATTTTACATACTGTGGGCCCCTATGTGTAGCCAGTTACATACTGTGGGCCCCTAAGTGTAGCCAGTTACATACTGTAGGCCCCTATATTGTAGCCAGTTACATACTGTAGGCCCTATAGTGTACAGTTACATACTGTACCCCTATAGTGTAGCCAGTTACATACGGTAGGCCCTATAGTGTATGTAGCCAGTTACATACTGTAGGCCCTATAGGGGTAGCCATGTTACATCTGTAGGCCCTATAGTGTAGCCAGTTGCATACTAGGCCCTATAGTGTAGCATTCTCTGTATGCCCTATAGTTAGCCATTATACTGTAGCCCTATAGTTTAGCCAGTTACATACTGTAGGCCCTATAGTGTAGCCAGTTACATACTGTGGGCCCCTATAGTGAAAGCCATTACTACGTAGGCCCTATAGTGTACCAGTTACATACTGTAGGCCCTATAGTGTACCCAAAGTTACAAAAGGTAGGCCTATAGTGTAGTGTAGCCAGTTAATACGGTGGGCCCCTATAGTGTAGTGTAGCCATTACTACTGTAGGCCCTATAGTGTAGCAGTTACATACGTAGGCCCTATAGTGTAGCCATTACATACTGTAGGCCCTATAGTGTAGCCATTACATCTGTAGGCCCTATAGGGGTAGCCAGCCACATACTGTAGGCCCTATATGTACCAGTTACATACTGTAGGCCCTATAGTGTAGTGTAGCCAGTTACATACTGTAGGCCCTATAGTGTAGCCAGTTACATACTCTAGGCCCTATAGTGTAGCCAGTTACATACTGTAGGCCCTATAGTGTAGCCATTACATCTGTAGGCCCTATAGTGTAGCCAGTTACATACGGGAGGCCCTATAGTTAGCCAGTTACATACTGTAGGCCCTATAGTGTAGTGTAGCCAGTTACATACTGTAGGCCCTATAGTGTAGCCAGTTACATACTGTAGGCCCTATAGTGTAGCCAGTTACATACTGTAGGCCCTATAGTGTAGCCAGTTACATACTGTAGGCCCTATAGTGTAGCCAGTTACATACTGTAGGCCCTATAGCCCAGGTACCCAGTTAACATACTGTAGGCCCTTAGTGTAGCCATTACATACTGTAGGCCCTATAGTGTAGCCAGTTACATACTGAAAGGCCCTAGTGACCATAAAACGTAGCCCTATAGTGTATTTAGCCAGTTACATACGTAGGCCCTATAGTGTACCGTTCATACGGGTAGGCCCTAAGGGGTGTAGCCAGTTACATACTGTAGGCCCTATAGTGTACCAGTTACATACTGTAGGCCCTATAGTGTAGCCAGTTACATACTGTGGCCCTATAGGTTAGCCAGTGACATACTGTAGGCCCTATAGGGGTAGCCAGTTACATACTGTAGGCCCTATATTGTAGCCAGTTACATACTGTAGGCCCTATATGTAGCCATTTACATACTTAGGCCCTATAGTCTGTGTAGCCAGTTACATACTGTAGGCCCTATAGTCTAGCCATTACATACTGTAGGCCCTTAGTGTATGTAGCCAGTTACATACTGTAGGCCCTAAGTGTAGCCATTTACATACTGTAGGCCCTATAGTTAGCCAGTGTACATACTGTAGGCCCTATAGCCCTAGTGTAGCCAGTTACATACTGTAGGCCCCTATAGTGTAGCCAGTACATACTGTAGGCCCTATAGTGTAGCCAGTTACATACTGTAGGCCCTATAGCTATTGTAGCCATTACATCGTAGACCCTATAGTCTAGTTCCAGTTACATACTGTAGCCCCTTAGTCTAGTGTAGCCAGTTACATACTGTAGGCCCTATAGTGTAGCCAGTTACATACTGTAGGCCCTATATGTACCATTTTAAACTACTGTAGGCCCTATAGTGTAGTGCCAGTTACATACTGTAGGCCCTATAGTTTTAAGCCATTACATACTGTAGGCCCATAGTGTAGCCAGTTACATACTGTAGGCCCTATAGTGTAGCCAGTTACATTACTGTAGGCCTATATGTAGCCATTACATACTGTAGGCCTATAGTGTAGCCATTTACATACGTAGGCCCTATGCCCTAGTGTAGCCAGTTACATACTGTAGGCCCTATAGTGTAGCCAGTTACATACGTAGGCCCTATAGTGTAGTGTAGCCATTACATACTGTAGGCCCTATAGTGTAGCCAGTTACATACTGTGGGCCCCTTAGTGTAGCCAGTTCCATACTTTTAGGCCCTATAGGTAGCCAGTTACATACTGTAGGCCCTATAGTGTAGCCAGTTACATACTGTAGGCCCTAAGTTGTGTAGCCAGTTACATACTGTAGGCCCTTAGTGTATGTACCAGTACATACTGTGGGCCCTATAGTGTACCATTTACTACTGTAGGCCCTATAGTGTACCCAGTTACATACTGAGGCCCTATAGTGTAGCCAGTTACAACTGTAGCCAAATGTACCAGTTACATACTGTAGGCCCTATAGTCTAGTGTAGCCAGTTACATACTGTAGGCCCTATAGTGTAGCCAGTTTTTACATACTGTAGGCCCTAGTGTATGTAGCCATTTACATACTGTAGGCCCTAAGTCTAGGAAAGCCAGTACATACTGAAAAGGCCTATAGTGAAAGCCATTTACATACTGTAGCCTATAGTGAAAGCCAGTTACATACGTAGCCTATAGTGTAGCCAGTTACTACTGTAGGCCCAAAGTGTATCCATTTACATACTGTAGGCCCTATAGTCTATGTAGCCAGTTACATACTGTAGGCCCTATAGTGTAGCCAGTTACATACTGTAGCCCTAAAATGTAGCCAGTACATACTATAGGCCCTATAGTGTAGCCATTTTACATACTGTAGGCCTATAGTGTAGCCATTTTACTACTGTAGGCCCTATAGTGTAGCCATTACATACGTGGGCCTATAGTGTAGCCATTTTAAATACTGTAGGCCCTATAGTGTAGCCAGCCACATACTGTAGGCCCTATAGTGTAGCCAGTTACATCTGTAGGCCCTATAGTGTAGCCAGTTACATACTGTAGGCCCTATAGTGTAGCCAGTTACATACTGTAGGCCCTATAGTGTAGCCAGTTAACATACTGTAGGCCCTATAGTGTAGCCAGTTACATACTGTAGGCCCTATAGTGTAGCCAGTTACATACTGTGGGCCCCTATAGTGTAGCCATTACATACTGTAGGCCCTATAGTGTAGCCAGTTACATACTGTAGGCCCTAATAGGGGTACCTTACATACTGTAGGCCCTATAGTGTAGCCATTTTACATACTGTAGGCCCTATAGTGTACCAGTTAACATACTGTAGGCCCATAGTGTAGCCAGTTACTAGACTGTAGGCCCTATGTGTAGCCAGTTACATACTGTGGCCCTATAGTGTAGCCAGTTACATACTGTAGGCCCTATAGTGTGTAGGCCTAGTTACAGTATGTAGGCCCTATAGTGTAGCCAGTTACATATGTACTGTGAGGCCGTTCTATGTAGCCCAGTTAGCCAGTACATATACTGTGTAGGCCCCCTATAGTGTAGCCAGTAACTGTAGCCCTATAGTGTAGCCATTAGTAGTAGCCAGTTACATACTGTAGGCCCTATAGTGTAGCCAGTACAAGTACCTATACTGTAGGCCCTATAGTGTAGCCAGAGACCTATACAGGTGTAGGCCCTATAGTGTAGCCAGTTACATACTGTAGGCCCTATAGTGTAGCCAGAGCAACATACTGTAGGCCCATAGTGTAGCCAGTTACATACTGTAGGCCCTATAGTGTAGCAGCCAGTTAGTGTGAGACAGTTACATTACGTAGGCCCTATAGTGTAGTGTAGCCAGTTACATACTGTAGGCCCTATAGTGTAGCCAGTTACATACTGTAGGCCCTATAGTGTAGCCAGTTACATACTGTAGGCCCTATAGTGTAGCCAGCCCAGCTAGCTGCTACGCTCTCTGACCTTCATTAGCTGTCATGAGACCAGGAACGTTACTCTGGCATATTCATTTCACTGCTGAAGCGACCTGTGAGCTAATTACCCTTCAGCTTTATGACCAGTGGTAGGCCCAAGTTAACACCATTTAATGGCCACTAATCACTGCCAGCTGCTCTACTTCTTTCCTCCTTCTCCCTGCACCCACTTTTCCTTTCACACTTTATTTTCATAGGCTAGCCTACATCTCTGAGGTACTTCAAACTTAGCCTGGTCCCACATCTGTTTGTGCTTTGCCAACTCCATTGCTGTCATAGTTTGCATGATAGCTCGAACAGACTGGCACTCAGGCTATTTCGAACTACTCCCTTTTCCCTGGCGGAACTTGAACATAATGAACTCTGAGCACCTTACTATACCGTAGCACAGTGTACCCTGGGTAGACTAAAACATAATGAACTGTGAGTACTGTTAATCACTCCCTGTTCTCAGGCACTTTACCCACTGCACTGTTCAAACAGCAAAATTATTGTTTAAGTGACAACTGTATTTTAGAAAAATTCCAATCTGGTTTTGGTGCCCACCACAGCACAGAGACAGCCCTAGTTGAAGTGGTAAATGATCTCAGAGCCAACACAGATGCCAAACAGCTCTCTGTCCTTGTACTCTTAGATTTAAGTGATGCGTTCAACTCTGTTAACCATGATGTTCTTCTGGACAGACTGGAGAGGTGGGTTGGCCTCTGTTGACCATGATGTCCTTCTGGACAGACCGGAGAGGTGGGTTGGCCTCTGTTGACCATGATGTCCTTCTGGACAGACAGGAGAGGTGGGTTGGCCTCTGTTGACCATGATGTCCTTCTGGACAGACTGGAGAGGTGGGTTGGCCTCTGTTGACCATGATGTCCTTCTGGACAGACTGGAGAGGTGGGTTGGCCTCTGTTGACCATGATGTCCTTCTGGACAGACTGGAGAGGTGGGTTGGCCTCTGTTGACCATGATGTCCTTCTGGACAGACTGGAGAGGTGGGTTGGCCTCTGTTGACCAAGATGTCCTTCTGGACAGACTGGAGAGGTGGGTTGGCCTCTCCGGTCCAGTTCTAAATTGGTTTAGGACCTATTTAACCGGTCCAGAGTTTTTTGTCACCCTTGGTGAACATAACTCAGAGAAAATACATATCACATGTGATGTTCCACAAGGTTAGATTTTGGGTCCGGTACTGTTCAGTTTATATATGTTATGCCTTGGCAGCGTTATCAGAAAGCACAGCATTGATTTTCACTGCTACTCAGACGATACACAACTTTACATTTCTGTGTCGCCAGAGGATTTTAGTTCCACAGATAAATTATTAGACTGTATTAGTGATTTAAATACTTGGATGGCTCATAACTTCCTCCAGCTAAATCAAGACAAGACCGAGGTACTTATTGTTGGAGCCAAAGCACAGAGAGAGAATCTGGACGCACATTTTAATTCACGGGCAATAAAGATAAAACACCAGCTAAAAAAACATGTGTTCTTTTAGATTTTGAACTAAATTTCTCATCACACATTAGGAATGTGACCAAAACAGCTTTTTACCACCTGAGGAACATTGCCAAGGTGCGGCCGTTTATATCTCAGGCTGATACAGAGAGACTCATCCATGCTTTTATTACAAGCAGGCTTGACCACTGTAATGCTCTCCTGTCTGGTCTACCCAAGAAAGCCATTGGTCAACCGCAAAACATACAGAATGCTGCAGCACGGGTACTGACCAAGACCAGACGGAGAGCACACATTACACCGGTTTTAAGGTCTCTGCACTGGCTGCCTGTGAGTTTTAGAATTCATTTTAAGATTCTTCGATTGGTTTTTAGATCAATCCACAATACATGTCAGACGTGCATTCATGTTATATACCCAGTAGATCCCTCGGATAGTAGTTGGTGAAGCCAAGGAAGCACTGCACCTCCTTAACCGTGGTTGGAGTCGGCCAATTACGCACGGCTGAAATGCGATCTCCCTCCATCTCCACACCTGAGGTGGTAATGCGGTATCCGAGGAAGGAGACGGACTGTTGGAAAAACATACACTTCTCGGCCTTGGCATGAAGGTCATTTTCCAACAGTCGGTCCAGCACTTTGCGAACCAGGCACACATGCTCAGAGCGCGTAGCAGAATACACCAGGATGTCATCAGTGTAGACCACCACACCGCGACCAAGCATGTCCCGAAACACCTCGTTCACAAAGGACTGGAAGACGGATGGAGCATTCATCAAACCATAGGGCATCACCAGGTATGTCACGAACGTTGAGAGATGGGTCAGACCAAGGTGCAGCGTGGTATGCGAACATGTTTATTAAACTCAGTAAACATAAACAAAACAAAAAACAACGTAACGTGACGTCCTCAGGCTATACACATACAAGCCGAAACACGGAACAAGATCCCACAACTAAGGTAGGCAACCAGGCTACTACAGTATGATCCCCAATCAGAGACAACGAGCGACAGCTGCCTCTGATTGGGAATCACACCCGGCCAAACCTAGAAAATACACATCTAGATCCTAAACATAGAAATACTAACATAGATCCTCACGCCCTGACCAAACCAACTAAAGACAACCGGCCTCTCAAGGCCAGGGCGTGACAAGGTATTCATAATGCCCTGTGGTTGTGCAGAATGCTCCTTCCACTCATCCCCCTCCCGAACACGCACCAGGTTGTATGCACTCCTGAGATCTAATTTGGTGAAGAAGCGCGCCCCATGCATTGACTCAATCACTGAAGGAATGAGGGGGAGAGGATAACTAAATCTTATCGTCTACTTGTTCAGTGATTGATAATCAATGCACTGGCGCAGACCACCGTCTTTCTTCTTCACAACGAAGAAACTCGAGGAGGCGGGTGAAGTGGAGGGAGGTATACGGTGGGGAAAAAAAGTATTTAGTCAGCCACCAATTGTGCAAGTTCTCCCACTTAAAAAGATGAGAGAGGCCTGTAATTTTCATCATAGGTACACGTCAACTATGACAGACAAAATGAGAAAAAGAAATCCAGAAAATCACATTGTAGGATTTTTAATGAATTTATTTGCAAATTATGGTGGAAAATAAGTATTTGGTCAATAACAAAAGTTTCTCAATACTTTGTTATATACCCTTTGTTGGCAATGACACAGGTCAAACGTTTTCTGTAAGTCTTCACAAGGTTTTCACACACTGTTGCTGGTATTTGGGCCCATTCCTCCATGCAGATCTCCTCTAGAGCAGTGATGTTTTGGGGCTGTCGCTGGGCAACACAGACTTTCAACTCCCTCCAAAGATTTTCTATGGGGTTGAGATCTGGAGACTGGCTAGGCCACTCCAGGACCTTGAAATGCTTCTTACGAAGCCACTCCTTCGTTGCCCGGGTGGTGTGTTTGGGATCATTGTCATGCTGAAAGACCCAGCCACATTTCATCTTCAATGCCCTTGCTGATGGAAGGAGGTTTTCACTCAAAATCTCATGATACATGACCCCATTCATTCTTTCCTTTACACGGATCAGTCGTCCTGGTCCCTTTGCAGAAAAACAGCCCCAAAGCATGATGTTTCCACCCCCATGCTTCACAGTAGGTATGGTGTTCTTTGGATGCAACTCAGCATTCTTTGTCCTCCAAACACGACGAGTTGAGTTTTTACCAAAAAGTTATATTTTGGTTTCATCTGACCATATGACATTCTCCCAATCCTCTTCTGGATCATCCAAATGCACTCTAGCAAACTTCAGACGGGCCTGGACATGTACTGGCTTAAGCAGGGGGACACATCTGGCACTGCAGGATTTGAGTCCCTGGCGGCGTAGTGTGTTACTGATGGTAGGCTTTGTTACTTTGGTCCCAGCTCTCTGCAGGTCATTCACTAGGTCCCCCCGTGTGGTTCTGGGATTTTTGCTCACCGTTCTTGTGATCATTTTGACCCCACGGGGTGAGATCTTGCGTGGAGCCCCAGATCGAGGGAGATTATCAGTGGTCTTGTATGTCTTCCATTTCCTAATAATTGCTCCCACAGTTGATTTATTCAAACCAAGCTGCTTACCTATTGCAGATTCAGTCTTCCCAGCCTGGTGCAGGTCTACAATTTTGTTTCTGGTGTCCTTTGACAGCTCTTTGGTCTTGGCCATAGTGGAGTTTGGAGTGTGACTGTTTGAGGTTGTGGACAGGTGTCTTTTATACTGTTAACAAGTTCAAACAGGTGCCATTAATACAGGTAACGAGTGGAGGACAGAGGAGCCTCTTAAAGAAGAAGTTACAGGTCTGTGAGAGCCAGAAATGTTGCTTCTTTGTAGGTGACCAAATACTTATTTTCCACCATAATTTGCAAATAAATTCATAAAAAATCCTACAATGTGATTTTCTGGATTTTTTTTTCTCAATTTGTCTGTCATAGTTGACGTGTACCTATGATGAAAATTACAGGCCTCTCTCATCTTTTTAAGTGGGAGAACTTGCACAATTGGTGGCTGACTAAATACTTTTTTTCCCCACTGTATACCCCTGGCCCAGGGACTCGGTGACGTATGTTACCATAGCCTCCGTTTCAGCCTGCGACAGGGGGTACACATGACTCCTGGGAGGTACAGCGTCTACCCGAAGGTTTATCGCGCCCGATGAAGTGGTAATTTTGTCGCATGCGTCTTATACAACGCGTGCGCCAGATCGAGGTATTCGGGGGTCTGGACTTTCCACCGTGGTTGCACCAACGGAAATACCCAGACACCTACCCTGACACTCTCGCGGCCACCCCGTGGGAACCCTCTGCGGCCATGAGAAGGTGGGGGTGTGGAGTGCTAGCCAAGGGATACCTAATACCACAGGGAAAGCAGGAGATTCAATAATAGAAAAAGTAACCTGCTCACAATGAGTCTCCTGGGTGATCATTGTGACTGGTACAGTAACTTCCTTAACAAACCCAGACCCTAATGGTCGACCATCAAGTGCTCTGATGGGGAGTGGAATGGACAGGGGAACCAATGAAATGCCTTGACGGCGTGAGAATGCCCCATCCATAAAGTTCCCAGCTGCGCCTGAATCGACTAGCACCTTACACTGGGGAACTACCATGTGGTCGGGAAAGTAGATAGGTAGGGTACAGTGCGCAGCAGAGGGCTCTGAACGAGTGTGGGTGTTCGATACCTGGGGTGATGCGAGAGTGCCCTGCCTGCCGCCTCCAGACCCAAAAGAGCGTTGACAACTATGTGTGGTGTACTGTCCCTTCGTGCCACCAGAGTGGCGCTGTCGCTGTCGTCCTCCGCTCTCTCAGATGGCGGCTCCACCCAGCTCCATCAGCTCGGGATCCGAGTCATCCAGGGTGGAAGCGGGCAGACCGCTACAGAGACTTCCTCTGGCTGCCAGCAGGGTGTCCAAACGGATGGCCATGTCCACCAGTTGCATGAAAGACAACATGGTGTCCCGGCAGGCTAGCTCCTGTCGGACATCCTCCCACAGATGGTACCGGAAATGGTCGATCAGGGCCCGCTCGTTCCACCTGGACCCCGCTGCAAGAGTCCGAAACTCCAACGCGAAGTCCTGCGCGGTCCTCGTCCCCTGCCTCAGATGGACCAGCCGCTCGCCCGCCTCTCGACCCTCGGGCGGGTGATCGAAGACCGCCCGAAAGAGGCGAGCGAACTCCCCGTAGTTCTCCAACACGGCTCCTCCTTCATTCCAAACCGTGTTGGCCCACTCCAGGGCTTTCCCCCGAGAGGCAGGAAACGAGGACGGACACCTTCTCCCGCTCCGATGGGGCCGGCCTGTTGCTGGAGAAGTAGATCTCCAGTTGGAGGAGGAATCATTGGCAGAGCGCCGCCGTCCCGTCGAACGCCCGTGGTCGGGATATCTGGATCCCTCCGGGTGCTGGGGTGTAGGTGGCTGGATCCGGTTGGCCAGCTGGTCTCGACAGATCAGGTCCTCTCCTCTCCAGGCATTGGACGACCTGAAGAACCCGTTCCATCGCTTCCCCCAAGCTGGTCAGCATCGTTGAATGCTCCTGGACCCGTGCTACGACTCCAGGCATGCGCTCCTCTCCCGCTGACTCCATTGCGGGTGGGTGATTCTTTGATGAGTGTGATTAGAAGGAGTCAGGCGCAGGAGGGTAAATCACCGAATACAGAGTTTATTCCGTCGTACACAATTGCGCTGGATAGCGACACACGGAAACAGGCACAGGGGAAACTATCTACCCTGGCAATACATGGTACGGGATATTCCAACAATATACAGGCACAGGGGAAACTATCTACCCTGGCAATACATGGTACGGGATATTCCAACAATATACAGGCACAGGGGAAACTATCTACCCCGGCAATACAAAGGGCGAGTAGCTCCACCGAGCTACACTACTCTAACAATAAACAATCACCCACAAGGACAAGGGGGGAAGAGGGAACACTTATACACAGACTAATGAGGGGATAAGAACCAGGTGTGTGTAATTGACAAGACAAGACAAATGGAATGATGATATATGGAGCGGCAGTGGCTTGTAAGCCGGTGACGACGAACGCCGAAGCCTGCCCGAACATGGAGGGGAGGCAGCCTTGGCAGAAGTCGTGACACTCAGGTCCTCTGGCATTGGCCTTTTAACTATCCCAAAGCCTAGGACCAAGAGGCATGGAGACGCAGCCTTTAGTTACTATGCCCCCAGCCTCTGGAATAGCCTGCCAGAGAAGCTGAGGGGGGCTGAAACTGTAGACATATTTAAAAGCGATCTTAAGACACACCTTTTCAGCTTTTCTTTTCCTCAGGGTGCTTTTTAGTTGTTCAGTTTGTCATTCTTTTGTTTTTTGTCCTATGTTTGTTGTGTAGTAAATATTTCTTGTTTTTTATTTGTTTATTCCTGTAAAGCACATTGCGTTGCATTACATGTCTGAAATATGCTTGATTTGATTTGACTTACCCAGAAACACTCAGATGTAATCGCTGCCAAAGGTACTTCTACTCAGGGGTGTGAATACTTATGTAAATGAGATATTTCTTTATTTCATTTTCAATCAATTTGAAAAAAACATGTTTTCACTTTGTCATTGTGGGGTATTGTAACTATTTAATCCATGTAACACAACAAAATGTGGAATAAGTCAAGGGTTGTGAATACTTTCTGAAGGCAGCACTGTGAATACTTTCTGAAGGCAGCACTGTGAATACTTTCTGAAGGCAGCACTGTGAATACTTTCTGAAGGCAGCACTGTGAATACTTTCTGAAGGCAGCACTGTGAATACTTTCTGAAGGCAGCACTGTGAATACTTTCTGAAGGCAGCACTGTGAATACTTTCTGAATGCAGCACTGTGAATACTTTCTGAAGGCAGCACTGTGAATACTTTCTGAAGGCAGCACTGTGAATACTTTCTGAAGGCAGCACTGTGAATACTTTCTGAAGGCAGCACTGTGAATACTTTCTGAAGGCAGCACTGTGAATACTTTCTGAAGGCAGCACTGTGAATACTTTCTGAAGGCAGCACTGTGAATACTTTCTGAAGGCAGCACTGTGAATACTTTCTGAAGGCAGCACTGTGAATACTTTCTGAAGGCAGCACTGTGAATACTTTCTGGAGGCAGCACTGTGAATACTTTCTGAAGGCAGCACTGTGAATACTTTCTGAAGGCAGCACTGTGAATACTTTCTGAAGGCAGCACTGTGAATACTTTCTGAAGGCAGCACTGTGAATACTTTCTGAAGGCAGCACTGTGAATACTTTCTGAAGGCAGCACTGTCAATACTTTCTGAAGGCAGCACTGTGAATACTTTCTGAAGGCAGCACTGTGAATACTTTCTGAATGCAGCACTGTGAATACTTTCTGAAGGCAGCACTGTGAATACTTTCTGAAGGCAGCACTGTGAATACTTTCTGAAGGCAGCACTGTGAATACTTTCTGAAGGCAGCACTGTGAATACTTTCCTGAAGGCAGCACTGTGAATACTTTCTGAAGGCAGCACTGTGAATACTTTCTGAAGGCAGCACTGTGAATACTTTCTGAAGGCAGCACTGTGAATACTTTCTGAAGGCAGCACTGTGAATACTTTCTGAAGGCAGCACTGTGAATACTTTCTGAAAGCAGCACTGTGAATACTTTCTGAAGGCAGCACTGTGAATACTTTCTGAATGCAGCACTGTGAATACTTTCTGAAGGCAGCACTGTGAATACTTTCTGAAGGCAGCACTGTGAATACTTTCTGAAGGCAGCACTGTGAATACTTTCTGAATGCAGCACTGTGAATACTTTCTGAAGGCAGCACTGTGAATACTTTCTGAAGGCAGCACTGTGAATACTTTCTGAAGGCAGCACTGTGAATACTTTCTGAATGCAGCACTGTGAATACTTTCTGAAGGCAGCACTGTGAATACTTTCTGAAGGCAGCACTGTGAATACTTTCTGAAGGCAGCACTGTGAATACTTTCTGAAGGCAGCACTGTACAAGGAGTACTGGTACCGAGTCAATGTGCAGGGCCACGAGGTAATTGAGGTAATATGTACATGTAGGTAGGGGTAAAGTGACTATACATAGATAATAAACAGAGAGTAGCAGCAGCGTATGTGAAGAGTGTGAAGGAATGTGTGTGTGTGTGCGTGGGGCCTCAATATGTGTGTGTGTGTGTGTTTTGTGTGTGTGGGTAGAGTCCAGTGTGTGGGTAGAGTCCAGTGCAAGAGAGTTAATGGAAAAAAGGATCAATGCAGGTTTTCCAGGTAGCCATGATTAGCTATTTATCAGCCTTGTTTAGCAGACTTCTGGCTTAGGGGTAGAATCTGTTCAGGAGCCTTTTGGACCTTGACTTGGCGCTCCGGTACTTGGTGCTCCATTTTTAGGGCCTTCCTCTGACACCGCCTGGTATAGAGGTCCTGGATGGCAGAGGTCTTCCTCTGACACCGCCTGGTATAGAGGTCCTGGATGGCAGGGAGTTCGGCCCAGTGCGGTCTTGATTTGCTGGTTTGTTGTTTTTATTGATTAGCCTAGCAGTGTGTGTGTTGTGTGTGTATGTGAGTGTGTGTGTGTGTGTGTGTGTGTGCTCTCACAGTGTTCCTTCCCTCCCTGCCAACTGAACGGTTGCCAAGGGGAGTAGGAGTGAACTCTGAAGCCTCGGCTCGGTTTCTACGCTGAACAGCTGTCTCACATGTGCTCTGGATCGATATAAACAAAACAAACATGGCCTCCCCCTCAGACTGACGCTGTGTCCCAAATGGCAGCCTATTCCCTACTAATTAGAGCCCATAAGGAAAAAGGTGCCATTTGCAGACTGAGACTGGATTGACAGGTCTGATTCACTGGGTGCCACCGGTGGGGAAAATGAATAATAATCAACAGATAGATGATATCCTACCGGGTTGTGGTGGGGGAGGGAGATAGGGTTAGTTGGTGGGGGAGGGAGATAGGGTTAGTGGTGGGGAGGGAGATCAGGGTTAGTGGTGGGGGAGGGAGATGGTTGGAGGGAGGGGGTTAGTGGTGGGGGGGGAGATAGGGTTAGTGGTGGGGAGGGAATAGGGTTAGTGGTGGGGGAGGGAGATGGGTTAGTGGGGGGGAGGGAGATAGGGTTAGTGGTGGGGAGGGAGCTGGGGTTAGTGGTGGGGAGGGAGCCGGGGTAGTGGTGGGGGAGGGAGATAGGGTTAGTGGTGGGGGAGGGAGATAGGGTTAGTGGTGGGGGAGGGAGATAGGGTTAGTGGTGGGGGAGGGAGATAGGGTTAGTGGTGGGGGAGGGAGCTGGGGTTAGTGGTGGGGAGGGAGCCGGGGTTAGTGGTGGGGGAGGGAGCTGGGGTTAGTGGTGGGGGAGGGAGATAGGGTTAGTGGTGGGGGAGGGAGCTGGGGTTAGTGGTGGGGGAGGGAGGGAGCTGGGGTTAGTGGTGGGGAGGGAGCTGGGGTTAGTGGTGGGGGAGGGAGCTGGGGTTAGTGGTGGGGGAGGGAGCTGGGGTTAGTGGTGGGGGAGGGAGATAGGGTTAGTGGTGGGGAGGGAGATAGGGTTAGTGGTGGGGGAGGGAGATAGAGTTAGTGGTGGGGGAGGGAGATAGGGTTAGTGGTGGGGGAGGGAGATAGGGTTAGTGGTGGGGGAGGGAGCTGGGGTTAGTGGTGGGGGAGGGAGATAGGGTTAGTGTGGGGGAGGGAGATAGGGTTAGTGGTGGGGGAGGGAGATAGTGTTAGTGGTGGGGGAGGGAGATAGGGAGAGAAACATAATTCACCTCCGACTGAAACTCACAACAGGACTACCCATAATAGCAGACACACACAGACGCACACAGTGTGATTTGAGGATTAAAGCTGTGTGACTTTTACACAAACTGTCTGCCAGTAGAGTACTACCACTACATAGATCATTAGTGGAGGTTATAGTTGTGTTACTACCACTACATAGATCATTAGTGGAGGTTATAGTTGTGTTACTACCACTACATAGATCATTAGTGGAGGTTATAGTTGTGTTACTACAGAACATAGATCATTAGTGGAGGTATATTTTTGTTACTACAGAACATAGATCTTTAGTTCATTATACACTTCGGAAAGTATTCAGACCCCTTGATTTTTTCTTCATTTTGTTACAGCATTATTCTAAAATCGATTAAATACATAAAAATCCTCAGCAATCTACACACAATACCCCATAATGACAAACCGAAAAGAAATGTTTAGAAATGTTTGCAAATTTATTTTAAAAAATCAAACAGAAATACCTTTTTTACATAATTATTCAGACCCTTTACTATGAGACTCGAAATTGAGCTCAGGTTCATCCTGTTTCCATTGATCATCCATGAGACGTTTCTCCAACTTGATTGGAGTCCACCTGTGGTAAATTCTATTGATAGGACATGTCTATATAAGGTCCCACGGTTGACAGTGCATGTCAGAGCAAAAACCAAGCCATGAGGTTGAAGGAATTGTCCGTAGAGCTCCGAGACAGGATTGTGCCAAGGCACAGATCTGGGAAAGGGTACAAAAAAATTTCTGGAGCATTGAAGGTCCCCAAGAACACAGTGGCCTCCATCATTCTTAAATGGAAGATGTTTGGAACCACCAAGACTCTTCCTAGAGCTGGCTGCCCGGCCAAACTGAGCAATCAGGGGAGAAGGGCCTTGGTCAGGGAGGTGACCAAGAACCCAATGGTCACTCTGACAGAGCTCTAGAGTTCCTCTGTGGAGATGGGAGAACCTTCCAGAAGGACAACCATCTCTGCAGCACTCCACCAATCAGGCCTTTATGGTAGAGTGGCCAGAATGAAGCCACTCCTTAGTAAAAGGCACATGACAGCCCTCTTGGAGTTTGCCAAAAAGCACCTAAAGACTCTCAGACCATGAGAAACAAGATTCTCTGGTCTGACGTAACCAAGACTGAATGCCAATCGTCACGTCTGGAGGAAACCAGGCACCATCCCTACGGTGAAGCATGGTGGTGGCAGCATCATGCTGTGGGGATATCTTTCAGCGGGAGGGACTGGGAGACTATTGAGTATCAAGGCAATGCAATTTGGAATGTCAGGCTAGCTTTAGAGGAGTCAATCAATACAACGTGAAGCAGCAAAGACGCTACCATGGGCGGGATACTAACCGGCTAAGAGTTTCATCTTTACGTCTGGAATACATTACATTCTGATACTAACAGGCTAAGAGTTTCATCTTTACGTCTGGAATACATTACATTCTGATACTAACAGGCTAAGAGTTTCATCTTTACGTCTGGAATACATTACATTCTGATACTAACAGGCTAAGAGTTTCATCTTTACGTCTGGAATACATTACATTCTGATACTAACAGGCTAAGAGTTTCATCTTTACGTCTGGAATACATTACATTCTGAACAATGCTGTGATGTTGTCACACATTGCAAACGGATTGTGAGAAGGTTGTCATGAGGTTAACCTTGTCAACCTAAAATTAATTTACCTGTTTGCTGTTCTGTACATCATATACTGTATAACTAAAACACAACACTCCATTATCTGAGGTGATTTTTGTTCTTCTTATTCAGTGTATTAGAAGTCATAGCTTTATCCCTTGACTGCTAATCAACCAAACAACAATTAAAGGGGACGTTCACCCCAAAACCCTTCTGGGCCCTTCATAACACTTGACTGGCTGTTTGTCAATACCCCAGACAGTTTTTAGATCCATTGATGTATTTACACTACCAGTCAAAAGTTTGGACACACCTACTCATTCAAGGGTTTTTCTTTATTTTTTACTATTTTCTACATTGTAGAATAATAGTGAAGACATCAAAACTATGAAATAACACATATGGAATCATGTAGTAACCAAAAAAGTGTTAAACAAATCAAAATTTGAGATTCTTCAAATTGCCACCCTTTGCCTTGATGACAGCTTTGCACACTCTTGGCATTCTCTCAACCAGCTTCACCTGGAATGCTTTTCCAACCGTCTTGAAGGAGTTCCCACATATGTTGAGCACTTGTTGGCTGCTTTTCCTTCACTCTGCCATCCAACTAATCCCAAACCATCTCAATTGGGTTGAGGTTGGGGGATTGTGGAGGTCATCTGATGCAGTACTCCATCACTCTCCTTCTTGGTAAAATAGCCCATTGTCCGTATTTTTTATTTATTTCAACTTTATTTAACCAGGTAAGCCAGTTGAGAACAAGTTCTCATTTACAACTGCGACCTGGCCAAGATAAAGCAAAGCAGTGCGATAAAAACAACAACACAGAGTTACATATGGGGTAAAACAAAACATAAAGTCAAAAATACAACAGAAAATATATATACAGTGTGTGAAAATGTAGCAAGTTATGGAGGTAAGGCAATAAATAGGCTATAGTGCAAAATAATTACAATTAGTATTAACACTGGAATGATAGATGTGCAAGAGATTATGTGCAAGTAGAGATACTGGGGTGCAAATGAGCAAAATAAATAACAATATGGGGATGAGGTAGTTGGGTGGGCTAATTTCAGAATGACTGTGTACAGGTGCAGTGATCGGTAAGCTGCTCTGACAACTGATGCTTAAAGTTAGTGAGGGAGATAAGAGTCTCCAGCTTCAGAGATTTTTGCAATTCGTTCCAGTCATTGGCAGCAGAGAACTGGAAGGAATGGCGGCCAAAGGAGGTGTTGGCTTTGGGGATGACCAGTGAGATATACCTGCTGGAGCGCAGACTACGGGTGGGTGTTGCTATGGTGACCAGTGAGCTAAGATAAGGCGGGGATTTGCCTAGCAGTGATTTATAGATGGCCTGGGGCCAGTGGGTTTGGCGACGAATATGTAGTGAGGACCAGCCAACAAGAGCGTACAGGTCACAGTGGTGGGTAGTATATGAGGCTTTGGTGACAAAACGGATGGCACTGTGATAGACTACATCCAATTTGCTGAGTAGAGTGTTGGAGGCTATTTTGTAAATGACATCGCCGAAGTCAAGGATCGGTAGGATAGTCAGTTTTACTAGGGCATGTTTGGCAGCATGAGTGAAGGAGGCTTTGTTGCGAAATAGGAAGCCGATTCTAGATTTAACTTTGGATTGGAGATGCTTAATGTGAGTCTGGAAGGAGAGTTAACAGTTATGTGAGTCTGGAAGGAGAGTTTACAGTTTACAGGTACCTGGGATAGGATAAGTGTTCCTTCTAACCCCCCCCCCCCCCCCCCCCCCCCCCCTAAATTGTAAAGTGGTTATCCCACTGGCTATAGGGTGAACGCACCAATTTGCGAGTCGCTCTGGCTAAGAGCGTCTGCTAAATGACGTTAATGTGCCCTTGAGCAAGGCACTTAACCCTAATTGCTCCTGTAAGTCGCTCTGGATAAGAGCGTCTGCTAAATGACTAAAATGTAAATGTAAATGTATTTGTAGTTGTCCACATACTCTAGGTCAGACCCGTCGAGAGTAGTGATTCTAGTCGGGTGGGCGGGTGCCAGCAGCGTTCGATTGAAGAGCATGCATTTAGTTTTACTAGTGTTTAAGAGCAGTTGGAGGCTACTGAAGGAGTGTTGTAAGGCGTTGAAGCTCGTTTGGAGGTTTGTTAACACAGTGTCCAATGAAGGGCCAGATGTATACAAAATGATAGTCCCACTAAGCCCAAACCAGATGGGGTCCAATTTGTAAGTCGCTCTGGATAAGAGCGTCTGCTAAATGACGTAAATGTAAATGTAAATGGATGGCGTATTGCTTCAGAATGCTGTGGTAGCCATGCTGGTTAAGAGTGCCTTCAATTCTAAATCAATCACAGACAGTGTCACCTGCAAAGCACCCCCACACCATAACACCTCCTCCTCCATGCCTTACGATGGGAACTAAACATGCAGAGATCATCCGTTCACCCACACTGCGTCTCACAAAGACACGGCGGTTGGTTCCAAAAATCTCAAATTTGGACTCCAGACCAAAGGACAAATTTCCACCGGTCTAATGTCCATTGCTCTTGTTTCTTGGCCCAAGCAAGTCTCTTCTTCTTATTGGTGTCCTTTAGTAGTGGTTTCTTTGCAGCAATTCGACCATGAAGGCCTGATTCACACAGTCTCCTCTGAACAGTTGATGTTGAGATGTGTCTGTGACTTGAACTCTGTGAAGCATTTATTTGGACTGCAATATCTGAGGCTGGTAACTCTAATGAACTTATCCTCTGCAGCAGAGGTAACTCTGGGTCTTCCATTCCTGTGGCGGTCCTCATGAGAGCCAGTTTCATCAGAGAGCTTGATGGTTTTTGCGACTGCAAAGAAAAAAGTTATTGAAATGTTCCTTATTAACTGGCCTTCATGTCTTAAAGTAATGATGGACTGTCGTTTCTTTTTGATTATTTGATCTGTTCTTGCCATAATACGGACTTGGTCTTTTACCAAATAGGGCTATCTTCTGTTTACCCCCCCCCCCACCCCCCTTGTCACAACACAACTGATTGGCTCAAACGCATTAAGGAAAGAAATTCCACAAATTAACTTTTAACAAGGCACACCTGTTAATTGAAATGCATTCCAGATGACTACCTCATGAAGCTGGTTGAGAGAATGCCAAGAGTGTGCAAAGATGTTATCAAGGCAAAGGGTGGCTATTTGAAGAATCTCAAAAATAAAATATATTTTGATTTGTTTAACACTTTTTTTGGTTACTACATGATTCCATATGTGTTATTTCATAGTTTTGATGTCTTCTCTATTATTCTACAACGTAGAAAATAGTACAAATAAAGAAAAACCCTTGAATGAGTAGGTGTGTCCAAACTTTTGACCGGTAGTGTATATGTAGGTAATAAGAAACCCCATGAAACAATAGTTAGAATTTACAAACATGTTCCTGGAGAGCAACCATCTTGTAGGTTGCCACTCCAACAGGGTTGAGTTGGGTTAAAAACCTATAGCTCTCTAGAACCGTGGGGTTATTTTAAAACACAGAGATCTCAAGTACATAGTGTTTGTGTCCTCATCTCCTTCTCAAAACACATTTTCATGAGAAAGCCAGAGGAGACAAGGAGAGAGGACCAGAGGAGACAAGGAGAGAGGACCAGAGGAGACAAGGAGAGAGGACCAGAGGAGACAAGGAGAGAGGACCAGAGGAGACAAGGAGAGAGGACCAGAGGAGACAAGGAGAGAGGACCTCTGTCTTTCCTCATCCAATGTGTTTTGAGAAGGAGATGAGGAGGGAGGGCGTGAGGAGAATGCAACTGAGATCTTCCCACAGATTCCTACTCATTACTCCATGTGCTGGCTCACGCCTGGGAGGAAGGCAGCCCGGTTCCAAAACTTCACCCGGTGCAAAACATGACTACCCGGGCGCCCTGGCCAGATTAATCGAATCCCCTCATTGAGTAGAAAATGTGTTCCCGTTCAAGACAATGGTGGCATAATGGGTGGACTGCCAGCCATTGCGAATGTACCCATAGGAGCAAAGTAGGAAGTAAAAGCAGGAAGGTAAAAGCAGGAAGGAAAAGCAGGAAGTAAAAGCAGGAAGTGTACCCTTCAATCTGTGCTGTGATTTGTTGATTCAACGCAACTGACATTACAAAACATCCATTCCATTGCATGAGCCACATCAGTTAGCATCATTTGTATGAACACTCTACATTCCCATGGAAATGATTGCATCACACACGGCAAACGGTACCGATTCGCCAAGTCTGGAACCAACAGGACCCTGAACAGCTTCTACCCCCAAGCCATAAGACTGTTAAATAGTTAACCAAATAGCTACCCGGACTATCTGCATTGACCCTTTTTGCACTAACTCTTTTGACTCATCCCATACGCTGCTGCTACTGTTTTTTATCTGTCACTATATTCCTAGTTATATTGTATGTACATATCTACCTCCATTACCTGGTACCCCTGGACATGGACTCAGTCCTGGTACTCCCTGTATATAGCCATGTTATTACCTGGTACCCCTGGACATGGACTCAGTACTGGTACTCCCTGTATATAGCGGGGTGATGTTGGGAGGTAGGTCTGGTGTCCATCTGGGTAATGTTGGGAGGTAGGTCTGGTGTCCACCAGGGTGATGTTGGGAGGTAGGTCTGGTGTCCACCAGGGTGATGTTGGGAGGTAGGTTTGGTGTCCACAGGGGTGATGTTGGGAGGTAGGTCTGGTGTCCACCGGGGTGATGTTGGGAGGTAGGTCTGGTGTCCACCAACGTGATGTTGGGAGGTAGGTCTGGTGTCCACCAGGGTGATGTTGGGAGGTAGGTCTGGTGTCCACCAGGGGTGATGTTGGGAGGTAGGTCTGGTGTCCACCAGGGGTGATGTTGGGAGGTAGGTCTGGTGTCCATCTGGGTAATGTTGGGAGGTAGGTCTGGTGTCCACCAGGGTGATGTTGGGAGGTAGGTTTGGTGTCCACAGGGGTGATGTTGGGAGGTAGGTCTGGTGTCCACCGGGGTGATGTTGGGAGGTAGGTCTGGTGTCCACCAACGTGATGTTGGGAGGTAGGTCTGGTGTCCACCAGGGTGATGTTGGGAGGTAGGTCTGGTGTCCACCAGGGTGATGTTGGGAGGTAGGTCTGATGTCCACCAGGGTGATGTTGGGAGGTAGGTCTGGTGTCCACCAGGGTGATGTTGGGAGGTAGGTCTGGTGTCCACCAGGGTGATGTTGGGAGGTAGGTCTGGTGTCCACCAGGGTGATGTTGGGAGGTAGGTCTGGTGTCCACCAGGGTGATGTTGGGAGGTAGGTCTGGTGTCCACCAGGGTGATGTTGGGAGGTAGGTCTGGGTGATGTTGGGAAGTAGGTCTGGTGGATCAACATTGAAGTCTGGGTCTTTGTATATGACCTGTTTATCTTCCCGCCTCTTGACAGCTTGTTGGACCAATCAGACACTCTTCTCTACCCAGTCCTTGGCCTGTTTGGAATACTCCACACAGCTTCTCGGATCTCCTGAAAGATGTGTAACAGAATATCAAAACCAAAAATAGAAATGGGTCCTAAATGGTATTTTCTTGCTTCCTCCTGCAAAATGAGTGGAGGAACATTGGGTCCCCTCTTTCATGGTAATGACTGGAGCGGTTTCAGTGGACTGGTATCAAATACATCAAACACATGGTTTCCAGGTGTTTGATGCCCTTCCATTCGCTCCGTTCCAGCCATTATTATGAGCCGTTCTCCCCTCAGCAGCCTCCACTGAGATAGAAGATGTGAGAAATGTAACAAAGATCAAATCCGAGACCGTATGGTTCATTGTCCTATCCTCATGTCTGTTCCACCACCCCTCTCCTTCCTCCATTCCCTCCCAGGCAGGTAGAAACAGAAAGAGGGATCGGTGATGTTGGCTGGTAGAAAACAGAGTCAGTCATTACATGTCAATTCAGGGCATGAGCTGATATTCAAAATGTTTTATTTGAATTAATATAAAGGTTAGGCTAGGTTGTTGTCATTACAACTCATGCACCTGCTAGGGCCAGAGCCATATGCTGTATTGATCTATCTGGCTCTGGCTAGGGCTGTGTCCTACTCATGGACCCTAACTAGGGCAAGTCATTTTATGCAACCAATAGCACTACAGAACACTGTGATGCCTAGTAGAAAAGAATACACTATTTCTTATCAGTAACGTTATAATGAAAAAGGGAATTGCATCACAAAGCTAAATAAAAAAACAGTCAGTAGGACAGGATAACGTTACGGTTACAAGTAGTAGCCAAGCTAAAAACACCACAAAATAGTTCAGGGAATGGCAAACAAATAACATTATAAATGACTTGGTGGTGACTAGCTACAGGTGTTAGCAACATACCTTGAATGGTTGGAGCGTTCCAGTCCATGGTGGAAAGACAGTGGGAACAGAACCCGGTTTTAACCGGTCCTCATTGTAGTCAGTGGCCACAAAGTGATCACTGGACACGGTCAACCGCAGCTGGTGAATGACTTCAGGCGTCGTATCGACACCATAAGCAGGATGTGGGACGGCCTGCAGCCATGCCTGACACAAAGCTCCATAGCGGTCAGGAAAAGAGTGGAAATGTGTAGTGTATTTGTATCGGAGCTGAACATTAATGCACTTTATTTTGGCCAACGTCGCTCAGCTACTCTACGACTAACATTATTGACCTATAATATAGGTTGTATGTTGGGAGATTTTGTGAAAGAGCACAGTTAGAAAGATATGGCATATAGAAGCAAACCGGATGGACATCATGAAAATGATCGGAGAGGTTGAGAGTAGAAGAAGTTCAGGAGCAAAAAATAAATAAAATATATATATGTATATATATATATATATATATATATATATATATATATATATATATATATATATATATATAATAGAATTATTGTAAAATTAACTCTGTCCATAAGGTGTAGATAGTAAGTATAGACCGGAAGTAGAGGCCTGGGCATTGTTGTTCACTAATTTACTCCAAGTAGGGAAAGGATGGCGGGGTTGAAAAGTAATAAAGGGGAGTATATATATATAAAAAACATGGGGGATTGGAAGTGATGCAGACAATTACATTGATAGAAGATACAATCTATCTGCAATATTAAGCTGATCCATTCCCCCCCAAAAAATAAATAAAAAAAATGAAAAAAAATGAAAAATACAAAAAATAACATTATTGACCAAGCTTTACTTCAGAGACTACTAACCGCTAGCCTAGCTAGCTACCATCTTTGTTTACTTCAGAGACTACTAACCGCTAGCCTAGCTAGCTACCATCTTTGTTTACTTCAGAGATTACTAACCGCTAGCCTAGCTAGCTACCATCTTTGTTTACTTCAGAGATTACTAACCGCTAGCCTAGCTAGCTACCATCTTTGTTTACTTCAAAGATTACTAACCGCTAGCCTAGCTAGCTACCATCTTTGTTTACTTCAGAGATTACTAACCGCTAGCCTAGCTAGCTACCATCTTTGTTTACTTCAGAGATTACTAACCGCTAGCCTAGCTAGCTACCACCTTTGTTTACTTCCTTTCATTCTGATTTCCTTTCTTGAAGACCAATAGTAAGACGCTCCTTCATCTCGCCTCCTGTAATTATAAATTTTAGAACCATGAAGAAGGGTTTTTACCAGATTTATATGGAAGACATTTGCGCACGAAGTAGGTCTTTGTTTTTTATACTTTTTACACATAAACACATTTATTTGGTAATTCAATGCTGAGACACCAATCGTTATTTATGTAACGATAAATACACTGTTTTTAATGCATTTGAGGTAATTTCAGAAATTCAGCATTTTGATCAACACTCCCCACACAAGGTCTGGTAGGGCAATATTGATGTTACTCATATTGATGTTACACAGGAAACGGAAACCAGTTGGGACTTACTGTATGAATGTGTGGGTTGACAACATGCCTAGTAAAGTTTGCTTAACTATATATCTTTGTCTGTCGTGACTACAACGCAAAGCATATTGAAACATGGTGGCAGTGGTACTCAAAAGAACATGGATCTCATCGATGTAAAGGAAGAAAACATCCCAATTTGAAAAAGTGCCGCATTTACAGGCTAGTCATCACGCCGAACGTTAACGTTAGCTAGCTATCGTATCCAATAGCTAGCTGGCTATTGGATACAAGCAGATTCGTGAGTAGCTAACGTTCCATTCTACGAATAAATCACCATGGAAAATGCACTGAAACCTCTGGGGAAAATAGACTTTGATGATTGTAATTTAGCACTGACCTGGAAAAGATTGAAAGAGGAATTCAATTTGTACATGGCTCTTACAATGAGAGAAAAACCTGAGGATTACAAAGTGAAGCTACTGTATTATCTAATTGGGGAAAAAGGCATAGAGATTTGTGAGACTCTATGTGTGGGCAGTACAAAAGACAATCTCTCTTTTGAGGAAGTAATTGCAGCAATGGATGCATTTTGTGATCCCAAGAAAAATGAAACAATTGAGAGATATAATTTTTCATGCGAAGTCAGGGCCAAGATGAGAGTTTAGACAAATATCTCACTGAATTGAGGACTCTAGTGGCAACCTGCAACTTTGGAGTAATTACATACTCTCTTATCAGGGACAGGATTGTGTGTGGCACATGTGACCCACACTTAAGAGAGCGCTTACTCAGAGAGACTGATCTCAGTTTAGAGAAATGCATACAGATTGGCAGAGCTGCAGAACTGTCCAGACAGAGAGCTAAAGTCCTAAATGTGCAGGGCCCTGTAGCAGTGCATGCAGTAACACAGAAAGATAGACCGAGAGGGACAGGAGACCCTACAGAGGGACAGGAGACCATACAGAGGGACAGGAGACCCTACAGAGGGACAGGAGACCCTACAGAGGGACAGGAGACCCTACAGAGGGACAGAGCATTATACAATGCAGATTCTGTGGATGGACACATGAGAGAAAAAAGGAAAAATGCCCTGCATATGGACAAAAATGTAAATCCTGAGGGAAAAACAATCACTTCTCTACGGTTTGCAAAAGTGCAGGGACCAGCAAGAGAAACAGAGTCCTGGCAATGGAAAATGCGTTAGCTGACTCAGAGAGCGGTGAGGATGTTCTCTGCATCACACTAGGGCCAAAGTCAGAGAGCATCAACGTGGTACAGGAGAAAACCACATACCCCACAATGCAGCTCTCTTTGCAACCATGCTGGTCAACAAAAAGTCAGTCAGATTTCAGCTAGATTGTGGTGCTAGTTGTAACGTTATCCCTGCAAACCTCATAAAAGTCGGTCACCTAGAGCCTTGCAGTCAGGGTATTGGTGATGTATAACAAGAGTACTCTGACGCCACTGGGGAAGTGGTGCCACCTGCTTTATCTTGGCCAGGTCGCAGTTGTAAATGAGAACTTGTTCTCAACTGGCTTCCCTGGTTAAATAAAGGTAGAATAAATAAAATAAATAAAAAAGTGCACACTTAAAGTGATCAATCCATGCAATAAGACAACCTACCGAGTTGAGTTCATCGTAGTCAACAAGAACGTGCACAGGCCCATTCTAGGCAGTAAGGCTATCCAGGCAATGGAGTTGATTACTGTGCAGCACCACAACATCCTGGCCATCGAGAAAACAACAGGATCCTGGACTAAAGAGCAAATTAAACGAAGGTACTCTGATGTATTCCAGGGAGATGGATGCTTTCCCGGCAAACTGAAGCTGGAAGTGGATGAGCGAGTGGAGCCCGTCCAGCTGCCAAAGAGAAGAGGGCCAGTAGCACTATATAAACCACTCAGAGGGGAGCTCAGTGGTCTAGAGAATAGAAGGATGGTAAAAGCAGATGAAAAAGGCACAGATTAGATAGGCGGCCTGATCGTAGTGAAGAAAACTGGAAAACTAAGAGTGTGCATTGATCCGAAACCTCTCAACAAGGCGCTCAAGAGGAGCCATTACCCACTTCCCACTGTTAAAGACGTGCTGCCAGATATTAACATAACGCGTGTTCTCCACAACCCAACAGAGCAGCTTGTACTACAGTGTGATGCTTCAGAGAGTGGGTTAGGAGCAGCCTTGATGCAGGGAGGACAACCAATAGCATACGCCAGCAGAGCCCTGACGGAGACTGAAAAAGAGGGTGTGCACAGATAGAGAAGGAGCTGCTTGCAGTGTTGTTTGGCATGGAGAGGTTCCACCAATTCACATATGGATGAACTGTGGAAGTGCAGTCAGATCACAAGCCTCTAGAGAGCACCATGACAAAGCCTCTCCTCAGCACACCAAAAAGACTACAACGCATGCTCATGAGACTCCAAAACTATGAGGTCAGTCTCCGATACGTTCCGGGAAAACATGTGGTTCTGGCCGACACCCTGAGCAGGGCGTACCTCACAGAACAAGACAACAGAGA